GCTATTCCTGGATCTGGCTCCTTTGGGATGCTTCCCTGGATATCAATTATTCCTTTGGATTTGGGAGCTGCAGGACTCCAGGGAGAGCCTTTCCCATCCCAGATGAAATTGGGATTTTCCAAGTGGTTTTTCCTGGATTAGGGGCGGAAATTCCAGAGGGAGCTGATTGGGAAAGAGGGGAGGAATTGGTTTATTCCAAGGTCAGGCAATTTGGGAATTTGGGGTATTTTTTACAAAGATTCCCATTTCTTTTTTCCATGCCTGCCATCTCCAGGGAGCCCAAAACACCCCCAGGAATCCCTTGGGCACGTTCCCCGTGGGGTCCGTGCCTTTGGAGGGAATTCCTGCGCCAGCAAACCTTCCGAATTGCTTTGTTTTCCCAGAAAAAATTGGAAAACCTGAAGAGCTTAGACCTGTTCAACTGCGAGGTGACCAACTTGAACGACTACAGAGAAAACGTGTTCAAGCTGCTGCCGCAGCTGACGTACCTGGACGGCTACGACCGGGACGACAAGGAGGCGCCGGACTCGGACGCCGAGGGATACGTGGAGGGGCTGGACGACGAGGAGGAGGATGAGGATGGTACGGGAATGGGAACCGGCACCGGGAGGGATGGGCGATGAGGGAATGAGGGGAGGGATAGAGAGTGAGGGGAGGAGTGAGGAGTGAGGGAATGAGGGGAGGGATAGGGAATGAGGGGAGGAATGAGGAGAAGGAGTGAGGGAATGAGGAGGAGTGAGGGAATGAGGGGAGGGAAGAAGGGAAGGAGCGAGGGAATGAGGGGAGGGATAGTGAATGAGGGGAGGAATGAGAAGGAGTGAGGGAATGAGGGAGGAGTGAGGAGGAGTGAGGGAATGAGGAGAAAGAGTGAGGGAATGAGGGGAGGGAAGAAGGGAAGGAATGAGGGGAGGGAAGAAGGGAAGGAGTGAGGGAATGAGGGGAAGGACCTGAAGGAATGAGGGAAATGACCTCATTGTCCTGAAGGAATGGTGGGAGAAGGAGCTGTGTGTCCTCAGGGAATGAGGGGAAGGAATGGCGGAAAGGATCTCTATGCCCTGAAGCAATGAGGGAATGAGAGGAAGGACCTTGGTGTCCCAAAAAGAAATGGTGGGAGAAGGAGCTGGGTGTCCTCAGGGAATGAGGGGAAGAACCTCGGTGTCCCAGAAAATGAGGGAAAGGACCTGAGTGTCCTGAGGGAATGAGAGGAAGGAATCAGGGAAAGGAACTGCATGTCCCAAAGGAATGAGGGGAAGGAATGAGGAAATGAGGGGAAGGACCTGAAGGAATGAGGGGAAGGAGCTGGGTGTCCTGAGGGAATGGCGGGAAGGAGCCGGGCAGGGCCTGAAGCAGCAACTTCCTCAGCTTTATCCCTAGTGAAAGACCGGGACGACAAGGAAGCGCCGGATTCCGACGCCGAGGGATACGTGGAGGGGCTGGATGACGAGGAGGAGGATGAGGACGGTACGTGGGATGTGCTCCATGGGATCCTGCATCCCGAAGGAATGAGGGGAGGAGGTGGCGGGGCCTGGAAAATCCCATTCCTCCATCTGGGAATGGAGGGGTGGGATCAGGAAAGAACCACGGGAAGGGACTGAAGGAATTACGGGAGCAGGGATGAGCACGGATAAGAAGGACTGTCCTGGAACTGTGGAAATCCTCATGGGAAAGGGTTTCCATGGGCATGGAAAAATGCAGGAATTAGGGAGCTGTTTAATGCATGGAAAACACTGGGGAGCTCTAGTGAATCTGTGCCAGGAACTGAGGATGGAACAGCCTGGAATTCCAGGAAATCCCAGGGAATCTCAGTGCTGTAGGCACCACTTTTCCCTGGCTGCCCCTGGAGCCATCCCAGGATGAGGATCCAGCTGATCCCAGGGAATTTTCTGGATTCTCCCATCCCAGCAGCACAGCAGAAAAGCTGGATGTGCACTTTTCCTGGGAATGCTGAGTGGGAGCTCTGGGAAGGTTCCCAAACACATGGAAAGCACTCCAGGGGCTCAGCACTTCCCAGTTTGCTGCTGGGAATTTTGGGAATTGCCTAAAAGGCTGGAATTTTGTGTCCATGGGAAGGCTCCTGATGGATGGTGGGAAAGTTCTGCTCCATCTGTTCCTGGAAAAGTTGGGATTCCCCAGCTCCCAAATCCTTGGGAATAGTGGGAAGTGGAGCAGCTGGAGTGACTCCAACCCTGCATTCCCTGACAATCCTGTGCTACCCCTAAGGAATTCTCTGCTCGGATTTCCAGATTTTGGGTGGAATTATTCCAAAAATCTCAACTTTTTCCATGGATTTTGTTTTTCCAGAGGAGGAATACGACGACGACGCTCAGGTAGTGGAGGATGAGGAGGATGAGGAGGAGGAGGAGGAAGGGGAGGAGGAAGATGTGAGCGGAGAGGAGGAGGTGAGCCTTGGAATTCCACCTCGGGAATCCGCGGGATCCGGCTGGGAAGGGCTGGGCAGGAAATCCAGGATTTGAGGAATTTTAGGATTCACTTTGTGCTGGGGTGGATGAAGGATGGGATGGGGGGAAAAGTGGGATTGGAGGGGAAAATGGAATAGGAGGGAAAAATGGGGTTTAAGGGGGGGAAATGGGATTGGAGGAAGGAAAACGGGATTGGGGGAGAGAAAGTGGGATGGGAAAGGGAAAAACAGAATTCCAGGAATTTGTTTTCCCTCTCCTCCAGCCCTGAATCCTCTCCTGCCCCTCTGGAATGTTCCTGAGCCCCCTCAATTCTGCTTGGAGGCTCTGGGTCAATCCAGCTTTTCCCATTCCCATAAATCCCAGTGCAGTTTTCCTAAACTTGGGAACGGCACATTCCCACGTTCCCAGCTCCAGCTCAGGGATCGATTCCCTGGGATTTCAGTGCCAGCTCCTGCTATTCCATAAAAAATGGGAGTACTGGGAGATGGCTTCTTGCTGAGGACATTCCAAGGACTTTCCCTCCTTGGAAAATGGGATATTGGGAAAGCTTCTGGGCTGATCCCAAGCTTTACATCCCGCTTTTTCCTGGAATTCCAGGAGGATGAAGAAGGCTACAACGATGGCGAGGTGGACGACGAGGAGGACGAGGAGGAGCCTGGTACGGAACCAATCCCACTTATCCTAAGGAAAAACCACCTCAGTTCCATGGAAAATGGAATTCCCGGAAAAGCAGGAATGCGGCTCCTGGAATAATGGGAATTCTTTCTTTTTTCCAGAGGAAGAGCGGGGCCAGAAGAGGAAACGAGAGCCTGAGGATGAGGGGGATGAGGACGACTGAGCAGCTTTTCCCTGGAAAAAATTCCCTCTTGTGATTTGACTGTTTTTATCCCGGAATTCCCCCTTTTCCCACTCCCGACCCTTTGGATTTCCTTTTCTTTTCCTGATTTTTTTTTTTCCGGATTGTAACGTTGCTGTGGGAACCGAGCGGGAGCAGCAAGGGTGGGAAGGGAATAAAATCCTATTTTTACTGCCGCTCCTCCTCCGATTCTTTGGGAATTTTTTCCTTGGATCCTTTTCCTTGAATCCCTGGAACTGCGAGAGTTGAGTAGGAACCGAGTTGGGAATTCTCGGAGCGGAGCTTGGACATCTCGGAAGCAAAACAAGGAAAGAACCGAGTTGAAATCCATGGATGAGCCGGGATTTTCCCACCTCTGCCATTCCCAAATCCACATTTTTTTTGGGAATGGCAGCCAGGCCTCCTCCCTGGGGTGGCAATGGTGCCTTGCTCCATGGGTTATTTTTTTGGGAATGCTGCCATTTCCAGCCCCTTTTCCCAACTTTGGGAATTCCCTCTTTGTAAATAGTGACCAAACGTTGGTTTTATGGGAATGTTGGATTTTTCGGGATGGGTTCGGAGCTGGTGACTTTGCGATCCCTGTGTGTTGTGTGTTCCCAGTTCTCCTTTAATTTGGGAGGGAATTTTAGGTTTTTTAGGAATTTTTTTTAATTTTTGGGGTTTTTAGGGGAATTTTTGGGGATTTTTGTGGCTCTAGTGCAGCCAAATCCCTGGAAATGGCAGGCATTAAAAAAAAAAGGGGGATCTCTACAAAAAATATCCCAAATTCCCAAATTTCCCGACCTTGGAATAAATCAACTCCTCCCTGCTTTCCCAATCAGTTCCCTCTGGAATTTCTGCCCCTAATCCAGGAAAAACCCCTTGGAAAATCCCAATTTTTCCACCCAGAAAGCCAGGAATTCCAGGAGACTGCCTGAAATTCCATGGGCATTCCTGAAAATTGTATTTTCTTACCTTGTGGGAGGCAAAAAAAAAAGGAAAATCCTTGGGGAATGTACAGATGCCACGGGAAAAATCCCTTTGGAAGTGACTTGGATTTCCTAGGAAAGCTTCCATGTGTAGAAATCCAGCGGCTCCAGGTTTTTTTGGGAATTTGGGGGGCCCGGCAGAGCCACCTTTGGAGTTTTTGTCTGTTTGGCTTTGAGGAATTTCAATAAAGCTTTTGATACAAATCCTGCCTCTGGAATTCTTTCCGGGAAAACAAGGAATGGCAGCCCTGGAAAAGCGGGGATTCCCAGATCTTTTTAGCACCGTGAAAAGAGGGTATTGCAGCTCTGGAAAAGTGGGAATGCTCAGTGTTTTTAGCACCTTTGGCTCCCTAAAATCCTTTGGATGAAGCCCAGGGAGAGACTGGGGTTGAGTGAAGCTCCTGGAATGTTTTCCCTTGGGAATGGGGGGTTCTTGGGGGTTATCCCAGGAAAACTGGAGCCTTTCTCTTGGAAAATCCTCTCCTGGCCTTGCCAGGCTGGGAACAAGGAGCTCCTGGATCCCAGGGAAGAGCTTTCCATCCTCCGGAATGACTTGGAGCCTGGAAATGTTGGGATGTGCTGGGAATGCTGGAATGAGGATTCATGCTGGATTCCAGGATCCATCTTTGGCTTCTCCCTGTCCCTGGTCTGGGGGAGCGCATCCAAGAATTTTCCTTGGGATCCCCCCAGCCCCTGGATGGAGAAGGAAAGGCGGGAACACGGTTCTGGTATTCTGAAAAGATTTTATTCCATCACTATCCCGTGGGAGCATAAATAATCGGGAATGACAGCACATGGAACGCAGCAGGGAACGCGGGACACGGACGGGACAGACCCACGCTGGGAACGCCGGGAACTCCAGCAGCTTGGATTCAGTGGGAATTGGGATCTCCAGGAAAAACCAATGGGATTTGGTGCCATTCCCTGTGCTCCGGGCAAATCCCGTCAATCCTGGGATTGTCCAAAGTGCTGAGCCTGGCAAGCTCCAGGTGCATCCCTCGGGATCCATCCTCAGGATCCATTCCTTGGGCTCCATCCATGGGGCAGCACCCCCAGGAATATCCCAGGATCCCACCACGGGAAGGATCCCAAATTTCCACCAAGGGAATGATCCCAGTTCCCCACCATGGGAAGGATCCCAGTTTCCCACCATGGGAAAGGATCCTGGGACAGATCCCAGGCTCCAGCTGCGGGAAGAACCCAGGTTCCCACCACAGCAAGGATCCCGGGATCCCACTGTGGGAAAAGTCTTGGGCACCCAACATGGGAAAGGATCACGGGAAGGATCCCGGAATCCCACCGTGGAAATGATCCAGTTTCCCACCACAGCAAGGATCTTGTCCTGCTCCCATGGGAATGATCCCAGCTTCCCAGCACGGGAAGGATCCCGGATTCCCACACGGAAACCCCCTTTGACGATCAAGCCCTTCCCACTTCCCGCCCCTTTTCCAGTTCCGCTCCCACTGTCACATTTTTGCATAGGAAAAAAAATTAATAGCAAGGAAGCTTCGCACTTTCCCGGGAATCTGCCCCGGGCTGGCTCATCCCAACGGACAGGACACGGCTCCGACTTACTGGGAGCCTCCAGGCTTTCCCAGGAATCAGGTTAGAGCGGGATTAGTGCCGGACAAGACACGCAGGACGTGATTCCAGGCTCTCGGCAGCCGCGGACTCCGGAATTGTGTTCTGGGTGAGTGGATCCAAGGAACTCAGGAGTAGAAACAAAGGAATTTCTTTAGAAAATGTCCCTGGAGTCAATTGTTCTTGGGACTGTTCCGGAAGTTCTTTAATTCCAGCTGCAGCTGCCGGATCCGAATGTCCTTCTGCGAGAGCTCGTCCTTCAGCCGCCGGATCTCATCCTGCTGCCGGAAGAACATCCGGAGCAGCTGGAAAACAAGGATGGAGATGAAGGAATGGATGATGGGATCACATCAGCTCATCCCAGGATTTTGCCAGATCCATGCTGGGAATGGGCCGTAACTTGGCTGATTTTGGGGACAGGGGATGGATTTGAACTGAAGGATGGGAGATTTTGATGGGATTTTGGGAAGGAATTCCCAGAGAAGCTGTGGCTGCCCTTGGATCCCTGGAAGTGTCCAAGACCAGATTGGAGCAGCCTGGGATAGTGGATGATGTCCCTGGAAAAGGTGTCCACCATGGGAAAAGGTCATGGGATGGATCCCACATTCCCACCATGGAAAAGGGTCATGGGCTGGATCCTGGGCTCCCGTCCCTGGAGGGATCCCACACTCCGGCCTCTGTTGGCATGGAGACTGGCAGCACGGTGCCTTTCCAGGTTCATCCCCACATCCCATTCCCATTCCCACTCCAGGGCCACCCCACCTCGTTCTCCGTGCGGGGCGGGACGTTCTCCAGGAGGTCGATCCCGTTGACCACCACGCTTTTCTTCTCCCTCACCGGCGCCTTGAAGACAATCTTGGAATTCCTCTTGTATCCCTCCTTCAGTGACACCAGGATGGGATCTGCAGAGAGCCATCGGATCAGCGGGATGTGGTGGCCCTTTCCCACATCCCGGACATTTTTTGGATACCCCCCCAGGTGGGTTTACCTCTGTTGACCCCACTGAGCCACTCGTCCGGGGTCAGGGCTGGCTCCGTCCCTGGAGTCATGGGATAAATGTCTTCCTGGTATGTTTCCGACTGGGAAAACAGGAAGAGAGGAGCAATGGGATCTGGGAATCCGCTCCCTGGGAACTGAGGAATAATTCCCTCCCCCACAGAGGGAATAAACACCCGGATAGTTGGGAAATTCTGGACACAGGGAGGAAATTTGGGAAGTGCTGGCTGGAGCAGAGAACCTGTGATCATGTCCTCCACCCAGCCCTGACCAGCAGCTGGATTTCCTTCCCAGAAAACCCCAATCCAAGAGACCTTTCCCCAGAATTCTCAAAACTCAAGTGAGACCACCCCGCTGGAGAAACATTCCCCAAAAACATTCCTGTTTTGTGGTTGAAATGCCATCAGATGAGTAAAGATGGAGAGGTCCAGGGATGGTGGGAACAGAGCCATGCATGGGATTGGCCAAAGTGGGGCGTGCCATCAGATGAGTAAGGATGGAGAGGTCCAGGGATGGTGGGAACAGAGCCATGGGATTGGCCAAAGTGGGGCGTATCCATGGCTCTGGAGCCACCCAGACATTCTGGATCCCGCTCATTCCCACATTCCAGGACTCACCCGCCTCGGGACGATCATGGAGATGGGCTCGATGAGCCCCTTGAGGGTGATGAGTTTGTAGAAACGGAAAACTTCGCAGGCAGAGACGTCCAGGCCATGCTTCGGCATCACCCCTGCGGAGAGCAGCGGGATCAGCCATCCACGCAATTCCAGCATGGAAAATCCCAATCCAAACCCAATCCAATCCAAGACCAAACCCATTCCAAACCCATTCCAAACCCAGTCCAAACCCATTCCAAACCCAACCCAAACCAAATCCAAACCCTTTTCCTTGCGCCATTCAATCCAGCACCTTCCCCATCCACCTTTTCCATGCTCTGGAAAGCGGAGCAGCAGCACCTCCACCCTTACCCAGTCCTTTCTGCGGAGCTGGCGAGCGGAATTCCATGAGATAACTCAGGTAGGGCTTTTCCGAGCCAATCTCGTAATACCGGATGTTGCCATCACCCTGGAGCAGCAGGGAAGAGGGATGGGAATGGATTTGGAAATGAGAAGGTGGAAAAAAACAGGATTAGGAGCATTTAGGAGGTGGGAATGGATGGGATATTGGGGAGGAATTGTTCCCTGGGAGGATGGGGAGGGGCTGGGATGGAATTCCCAGAGAAGCTGTGGCTGCCTTTGGATCCCTGGAATATCCAGGGTTGGATAGGACTTGGAGCAGCCTGGGATGATCGAATGTGTCCCATAGCAGGGACATCCATAGAAGTGGATGAGTTGGAAGCTCCCTTTCCATACAAACCATTCCAGGATCCAAATTCCAGCCTAAATCCCTGGGCAATGCTGGGAGATTTTTCTGGGAATGGCACATCTGGATGCTCCGTGCATCCCTACCTTCCCAGCCAGGTACAGCATGTGGGTGTCAGCATCGTAGAACGGGAAGAGGAGCCCCGAGAGCCCATCGATCTCCTCCTCGATCAAAGGCATGGATAAATCTTCCTGGAAAACAGGAAAATCCCAGTGTTAGCCGTGTCCTGATGGCAGTGCTGAGTGGGATCCCAGCAGGCATGGAGAAGAAATTCCAGCAGGGATGGAGCAGGGATCTGGGCAGGGATGGAGAGGGATCCTGGTGGGGATGGAGCAGGAATTCCAGAAGGAACAGAGCAGGATCCTGGAACGGATGGAGCTGGAATTCCAGCGGGAAGAGAGGGGGATCCCAGCACCCACCTGGTCCCAGAGAGCGATCTGCCGGGTGTTCCAGCGGGACACTCCCGTGGTCAGAAGCCGTTTGGTGCTTCCCAGGAAAACCACGCGGTTGACACGGTGGTTCTTGCAGCTGGCCTCCTGCAAGGCAGGAATGAGCTCTGGAATTCCCCTTGGATCCAGCTCTCATCCCAGGAAAGCCCTTTCCTTCCTTCCCTAGCCTCATCCTATGGAAATTCCAGCTCTGTCCTTCGGCACCTGCCCCAGGGCAAGCCGAAATTCCCATTTTCCCGAGGATCAGGGAGAACCCACCGTCCTCCTCCAAACCTCCTGCACCTTCCCCTTTTTCCCCAGCATTTTCCACAAATCCTTAATTAAGAACGGAATCAAAGTCTCCAACTCTGGACCTTCCCCTGCGTCTTCCCTTTAATTCCCAACATTTTCCACAAACTCTTAATTAACAATGCAATCAAACTGGGATGAGGCCAAGCCCTCCCCACCGTCTCCACAGCCAGGCTGGCACCCGGATCCCACCACAAGGAAAACGTCCCGCTGGGAGCGCCCACAGCACTCGATGGATATTTTCCGACATTCCATAGGACCCTTCCCTAGAAATCTCATTCCCAGCGCCCATCCCACCTGCAGGACCCTCCCGGAGCGCGGCTCCACCACGCGCAGCTTCTTGTCCTTGCAGGTGGTGGCCAGGAGGCTGCCGTCGGTGTTGAAGGACATGCAGAGGATCACGTCCGTGTGGCAGTCGATCATCTTCACCGGCTCGCCGATGTCCAGGTTCCAGATCAGCACCTGCGGGAACAGCCTTTGGAGCAACCCGGGATGGTGGGAGGTGTTCCTGATCTGTGGAAGCTGCTCCTGGTCTGTGGAATGTCTCCCTGGCCGATGGAAGCTGTTCCTGGCCTATGGAAGCCGTTCCTGGTTTTTTGGAAGCTCTTCCTGGTCTGTGGAAGCTCTCCCTGATATACAGAAGTTTTTCCTGGTCTATGGAATGTCTCCCCAATCACGGAATGTCTCCCTGCTCTATGGAAGCTCTCCCTGATCTGTGGAAGCTCTCCCTGATCTGTGGAAGCTGTTCCTGATCCATGGAATGTCTCCTTGATCTATGGAATGTCTCCCTGATCTGTGGAATATCTCCCTGGCCTATGGAAGCTCTCCCTCATCTGTGGAAACTGTTCTTGAACTGTGGAAGCTGTTCCTGGTTTTTGGAAGCTGTTCCTGGTCCATGGAATGTCTCCCTGGTCATGGAAGCTGTTCCTGGCCTATGGAAAGCATGGAATGAGATGAGCTTTGAGCTCCTTCCAACCCAAACCATTCCAGCGTTCCACAATCCCCCTCTGGCCATCCACAGGTGACTCCCAGCCGTGCCAAAATCCGGGAAAGCCCTTTGGAATGGCAGTCCCAGGAAGCCTGACCTTGTAGTCGTAGCCGGCGCTGAAGAGGATGTTGTTGGTGGTCGGGTGCCACTCCACGAGCCCGACGCGGCGGCTGTGTCCGTACAGCTCCAGCACCGCCTCCGTCATGTTCCGCTTCAGTCCACCCTCCGGAATCTCCCAGATCCGCACCTGGAATGGGGTTTGGAGCATCCCAACTCCCGCCCTTGAATTCCTCTCTTGCCCAGGAATTCCAGGATCAGCCCTGCTGCTGATTGCCCCTCAAGGATGAACAAGGAATCCTTGGGATCCCTTGGGAAAAATCCAGCCAGGGTAGATCCACTCCTGGAATGGGGTTTGGAGAATCCCTGGCCTTGAAAGTTCCTTCCCAAAGAAAAAAGCTTTCAGGAATTCCAGGATCAGCCCTGCTGCTGATTGCCCCTCAAGGATGAACAAGGAATCCTTGGGATCCCTTGGGAAAAATCCATCCAGGGTAGATGGTGTTATCCAGGCAGGGTGTTGGAATCCTCATCCTGAATTCCCAGATTCCCAGCCCTTCCTTGTCCTGAGACGCCAAATCTGACCCTACAGACTCCACATTTTGGGATCCTTTGGGATAAAGACTCCCAGATTTTCCAGGTTAGTTGCTCTAAAAACCACCAGGGAATTTTCCCAGGATTTAGCTCCTCTTTTCCATTGTCTCCATGGAGATTTCTGACCTGAACCTTCCCTGGGACCTCTCCCAGCTGCCCACTCCTGTCAGGGACTTGTGGAGAGCCTGGAATTCCCTCCAGATCCTGTTTTTCTCCAGGCTGAGCATTCCCAGCTCCCTCAGCTGCTCCTCATGAGAATTAACCTCTGGATCCTCTGGATTTGTGTCCGGAAAATAAAGAACAGGAGGGAATTCCAGCCCAGGAGTCAGGCTGGGCACAATTTGGGATTGGCTTTGATCTCCTGTCCCTCAGCATTCCCAAAACAAATGCCATGGACATATCGAAATAGGGAATCAATGGGATGGGGAGGATGGATGGATCTGGGAATTGCATCCCGGAATTCCGGCTCACCGAGGTGTCCTCAGAGCAGGAGGCGATGATGTTATCAATGAAGGGGTTCCACTTGATGTCCAGCACGTTTCCCTGGTGACCACAAACTTTGGGATAGTTCGGCTCGATCCGGCCGGTCTGCAGTGGAAAAGCAAGGAAAACATCGGGAAAACCATCAAATTTCGGGAGAAATTGGTGTTTCCAGGGATGGGAAATTGTTGGAGAAGGGAGATCCACCTCAGCCTGGGATGGGCCAAGCCAGGGATTGGGTTTGTCCAATATTCCCAGTATTCCCAGCTGATCCGTGGATGGGAAGGGGTTTCTCCAGACTCCATGGAGCAGGGAAAGGACAGCTGGGAACTCAGTGGGAATTCATGGAATCATGGAATATTGGGGTTGGAAAAGCGCTCCAAGGTCGTGGAGTCCAACCATTCCCATCACTGATCCTTGTCCCCAAGGGCCACATCCACAGGGATTTTCAATCCCTCTGGGAATGGGGACAGGGCTGGAAAACCCTTTCTGTGAGGGAGTTTTCCCAATATCCAAACTTCTCCTTTCAGCATCCAAATCCATGGCTGAAAGGACTGGAAAAGATTCCAGAGGCTCCAAAGCCCCTCAGCCATTGGATCCTGCGTGAATCCCAGAACAGTTTGGGTGGGAAGATCTTCCAGGAGATTCATTCCCAATCCCTACCATGGCCCAGGATCCCTTTCCCTATCCCAGGTTGCTCCAAGCTCGTCCAACCCAGCCTGGAGCTGGAGCATTTGGAATTTCCCTCACAATTTTTGGATTTCCTTCCCAAACTTCGGAATCACCATTTTCCAAGGTTCTCCTCCATGGAACAAACCCCAAATTCTGGGATCACACAACTCCTGCTAATCCTCCACCTGTGACCCCATAGGATGGGATCCTTCCATGCGGAATTTCCAAAGCTTTTATGGAGCCTCCTGGGAAGATTCCCACCGGGATGGGAACCTTTTCCATTCCCAAGGAAGCTCCGTGTCCGGATGCCACCCCGGTGTCCTTCCCTGCTCCGTGCTGGCTCCGTGCCGGAGCGGCGCTCAGAGCGTGCGGAATAACTGGGTCAGCTCGGCACAGCCGCTGAATATTTCATGGATTTTCCTTCCTGACTTTTCCCATGCCGAGCTCCCAGCTCCGTTTATTGGGAACAAAGGAACGTGCTGGGAATTGTGCCCTCAGCAGCTCCAGGAAGTCGGATCAGGGCCAGGAATGGCTCCAGAGCTGTCGCTCCCAAGGTTTCTTGGGATTCATTTCCTCCCTCGAGCTGCAGGGAGGAATTTGGGAAGGAAAATTCCCAACAATGAGAGAGAAAAGGAAAAGGAAACATGGGAATGTCAGTGATTCCTTAGTTCTGCCTCCCAGTGAATTCCTGGGATGCAATTCCCAGTTTCATCTTTGTTATATGAAATATTCCAGCCCCCATTGATTATCCAAAGGCTCGGCTTATCCCACTTTTCCCGAATTTCTGATTTGCAATTCCAGGACTTTATTCACAACCCGTCTGCAGCAAAAATTCCCACAGAAACCACATAATTCCAGGTGAATGGAATTTTTAACAGCAGAAACTCAAATTCCACCTCTTTTATTCTGAGGAATCAGCTGAGTAAATGCCTTTTCCAAAAAGATTTGATGGATTTGCCCAAAATTTATCAGGATTTTAAGAGGACAACACCGAGTTTGGTTTTTTGGGATCGTTTTTCACAAGAAATCCGGAATTTTGATTCAAATTGGTTGTGCGCAGTGGGAAAAGGACAGAGAATGTACCATTCCCAGAGCACCTGGAAAAGGCAAAGGAAAAATAAAGGCAATAAAAGGGGAAAATCCCTAAAAAATCCAGGATTCCGGCTGCGTTTATCCCGTTTTTCAGCGGGACCTTGCCGGCAGCCAGAGTTAATCCAAGGTGAATCCTAATCCCTGGATCCCTGATCCCCAGCTGAGGGAAGCTCCGTGACCCAGATTCCGGCCCCGCAGGGACAGCCTGGAGCTCTCCCGGCTCCGGCAGCTCCGAGGTTTTCCACGGAAAAGGCTGGAAGGAGGAAATCTTCCAGCAGCTCCTGCCCCTCCCTTTGCTGCAGTGCTTGGAAAAGGGAAAATCCTTTGGGAAAAGGGAAAATTATTTGGAAAAACTGTGAATTTTGGGGATTGGGGGGTGGAGAGGGAATTCTTTCCCCGGGAATGGTTGGAATAGCAGCAGGGAGAGGGATGGAAACCCTCTGGATTTTGGAAGCAGGGAATGGGATTGAGGAATCTCCTGAGGACCTGTGTAGAGAATCCCAGGAATTCCAGTGGACTCAGAGCCATCCCTGGGATGAGAGGGATGGAATTGCCCTCCCTGATGGAAATCCGGGATGAATTATCCATCAGATCCATCAGCACCAAATCCAAGGGGTGGGAAAAGTCCCCAATTCCCATCCTTGGAGCAGCACAGTTCTGCCCTGGCCACGGCTGAATCCCACTTTTCCCGGAAATCCATCCAGCAGGAAATCTTGGATAAATTATTTCAATATCTAAAATTCCCAAACCTGCTTTTCCCTTGGAAAATGCAAACCAGGAGCACTTCCAAACCTTCCCATTCCCTGGAAAGCTCCACAAACGTGGAAAAATCCCTTTATTCCACTCCATCCTTCATTTCCGTATGGAAAACCTCAGGGATGGGTGCAGCATCCATCCAGCAGCACCTCTGGATCCCATTCCCAGTTGGAAGATCCAGTTCCCAGAAGGAAAATACCATTCCAGGATGGAAAATCCCTAGGGAGCATGGAAGGGAACCTGGGGAGGTCTGGGAATTCCATGGCCTGTCCTATCCCAAATCCAGCCTTTTCCCCGTCCCAAATCCAGCCATTCCCACAATCCCGGCAGTGACGGGAGCAGGAGTTTGGATTTCAGCTTCCTCCGGATAAACAGAGGCTGCCCCTTCCCGCTGCCACTTCCGTCGGGAGAGAACATCGGCTGCCTCTGGAAAACAACTCCTCATTCCCGGCGGGAGCAAAAATCCCTCAGTTTCCGTGGAAGTGATTCCCTGCAAAGGGATCCATGGTGATCCCAACAAAATCCTTATCCCAAATCCCTCTCCAGCTTTCCCAGATCTCCTTTAGGCCTGCAAGGGACTCTGAGGATTCCCTGGATCCTTCCCTTCTCCCAGGGACATTCCCAGCCTGGCTCCAGGAGAACGGGATGAGCTCCAGAAGGACGGGATGTGACAGCACCGAGCTGCTTCCTGATGGAATTGCAGCATCCAAGGATTTTGTTCCCTGACTCAAAAGAAAGGAATATTTTCCAAGGGGTCTCCAGGATCAAATCCTCAAGGCCAGGTTGGAGAGAGCCTGGAGCATCCTGGGATGGTGGGAATTGTCCCTGTCCCATCCCAAATCCAGCCTCTCTCCTATCCCAAATCCAGCCCTGTCCTGTCCATGGAATGGGATGAGCTTTAAGGTCTTTTCCAACCCAAACCATTCCAGGATTCTGGGATTCTCCCATTCCTAAGGAGCCAATCCTGCTCTTCCCGATCCTTCGCCCACTCCCTTGGGATATTTTTATCCTGGTGCTGGGGACAGGCTCATCCCCAATCCCGAGGCTCTGGAATCTAGGAGGAAGGAGGAGCAAAGCTCCCTCTTCCCAACCCACACATCCCTTGGATCGCTCCACAAAAACCCCGAGATGTGGATTTGGGATGAGCAGATGGCCCGGCCCAGATTCCGGGAGCTTTGCTGAGGGCAAAATCCGGGGAAAAGATCCAAAAATACGGCAGCGAATCCACGGAGCGGCTCCACGGTATCCGGGTTACCTTCATTAGCTTCTAATTATGGATCACAATTAATTAGGGAGCTGCTGATTTCCAAGGAAAATTAGTTTCTCCTTAATGAGCTAATCAGGCTCCGGATTAAAAAAAAAAAAAATCAGGAATTTATTAACTCCTCCAGCATCCAGGGCTGCTCCAGGCGGGATTGACCAGCTGGATATCCCACGATTTCAGAGGATCCCTTTGGAACACCATCCCTGCTTTTATCCCACTGGGATTTTGCTGGGAAAAAAAGTGGCATTTGCTGGGAATTTGGGGTTGTTCCTCAGGATTTGGGATCGAGGCAGTGCGGATGGTGATTCCAGCCGGGATCCGTGAGGAAGGAGCCGGGATGAGGCCGGAGCTGGAGTGCTCCGGGTGCTCAGACAAAGCTCCCGGGTTTTTTTCTGGGAATATTAATGAGGCTCAAGCTGTGCTCTGCAATTAAATCCTGATTAGAATTCCTTCCATCTGGAGCTGCCTCCGGAATGAACGAGGAATTCAGGAGAGGCGTGAATGTTGCACAGGGAAAGGGGCGAAGGAATGATGGGATGGAGGGAAAGAAAACCAGGGAGAGCTCCTCCTTCTCCCAGCTTCCCTTCCCAGCTGGAATTTGGGATCTGGGAATTTGGGAATGCAGTTCAGCCATGGAAAAATCCCTCCTGGGAATGAGGCTGGGAGCATCCCAGAGCTGCAGGTGCCCAGGGATGGGATGTGGATTCCCGCTTGGAATACAGGAATAGCCCAGGTGAGTGCCAGAATTTTGGGAGCAATCCAAGAATTCCAGAATCCAGGAACGGGTTGCGTGGGACGGGATTTTATCCCATTCCAATGTCCCAGGTTGCTCCAACCTGGCCTTGAACATTCCAGGGCTAGGGAAGCAACAACTTCCCTGGGAATTGTGCCATGGCCTCCCTCCTTGGAAAAATTCCTTTGATCTCATTTTAACGGATTCTCTTCCCATCACAACCCTCCCCTTTCCCTATCCAAGTAAATTCCAGGCTCAAGGTTGCTGCCACTGCCACTTTTCCTGGGAGCCGTGGATCCCATGGGATCGGCTGGAGCAGCAGTTGGATTGATGGGAATTTCAGCTTCAGATGGGCAGATCCCGGGAGAATTCCCAGGAAAAGCAGGGGGAATCTTGGATGGAGATGGAAAAGGGAGGAGGGGGAAGATCCTGCCTGGATCAGGGATGAGAGGGATAAATCCTGCTTTTCCCATGGAAAGGAGCTGTTCTGGTGTCCAACCACCCTCTGGATGAGGAATTTTTCCCAAAAATCCAACCTTAAATCCCTGGCATGCCTCCAGCCATTCCCTGGAAAACCCAAAGAAAGGGAAAGAGCAGTAGGATGAGATTGCAAGGACATGATTCCTTGGAATCCCGGGATCCAAGTGGCACCTGGCACTGGGATGGGACAGGCTGGAGACATTCCCAGTGTCTGAAATGATGGAAAAACCTCCTGGAGAGATTCCAAAAGTGCTTTGATGGGATGTTTGAATTCTTCCTTTAAAAAAAACCCAATTTACCAATTCCACATGAAGCTCCAGGAAAAGCAGGAGGGATTTGGATATTTTGGGATGGTTCCAACTGGGAATCCCATTCCCAGGAGCCATGAGGAAACCCCAGAAAAGGCAGCAGGGATTTGAACATTTTGGGAATCCCATTGGGAATCTCACCTGCTCCAGCAGGATGACAAGGAAACCTCAGGAAAAGGAGATGTGGATGCTTTTTTGGGAATTCCCGTTGGGAATCTCACCTGCTCCAGCAGGATGATGAGGAAACCCCAGGAAAAGCACCAGGAATTGGGACACTTTGGGAATCCCATCCAGGAAAAGATCTGGACACTTTGGGATGGCTCCATGTGGGAATTCCCATTGGGCATCTCACCTGCTCCAGCAGGATGACGAGGAAACCCCAGGAAAAGGAGATTTGGACGCCATTTTGGGAATTCCCATCGGGAATCTCACCTGCTCCAGCGGGATGACGAGGAAGGAGCCGCCGCCGGCGCTCTCGGTGACGATGGCGAGGAAGCGCGCGTTGACGGCGCAGAAATGGTTGTCGTGGACGTTCTTGGTGATGGGAATTCCGTCGAAGCAGTGCTCCCGGCTCGCCGCCTTCCCGTAAACATTCCGGAACTTGGAGCTGCGGTACTGCGGCCGCCATGACATCTGCAGGGAAACGCAGGGATCAGCATTCCCAAAAAAACCCCACCACGTTCCTGGTTGTTCTTGTGTTTTTACCGTGGACATGGAAGCATTCGGATGGGCCCGTTCCAACATAAGCATTCCCGAAAAATTGCAAGCATCCCCTGGAGAAAGAATCGTTCCTAACAGGCTCAAAAAGAAAGCTCAACATTCCCAAAACAACCATTCCCAAAACACCATTCCTGGTTGCTCTCCTGTTTTTACCATGGACATGGAAGCATCAGGATGGGCCCATTCCAACACGAACATTCCCAAAAAACCTACAGCACCGGTGCTGGAAAGGCTCCCAAAGGCTCAGAAAGCCACAGAATTCCAGCTGCTCCCCTTTGGAGCGGGAATGCTCATCCAGGACACGCCTGGGTGCACATGACAAAGGAATTCTGGCTTGGAATGTGATGGCTTGGAAATGGATGGCGGGAGAGCGGGAATTGGGACGGGAGGGGGACGGACAGAGCGTTCAGAATATTCCGTGTTTTCCGCAGGTTTTCCTGCACGGAGCAGCCCAGGATCCAGCAGGGATCCCAAGGATCCATGAGCTGATCCTGGAAGCTCCGGACGGATCCAAAGCATCCATCAGCCGCTCCTAGTGGAAAAGGACCCAGGAGTAAATCCCCAGCTCTGCCCTCATTCCCTAGGAATAGCAATGCCTGGAAAACAGGGAAAAGAACCCAGGAACAACCCCCCAGCCGTGCTTGGATGTTTTCCTGCTTTCCTGGCAGCTCTGGCCTTTCCCAGAGCGGCAGCAGGAGCAGCTCTTGTCTCCATGTGTTTGGCTTTTCAAAGGATCCTTTCATCCCTCGGGAGTCTTGGAAACAGCGGGAGCGAGCGAAAAATCAGGAAAGGAGCTCTGGCCACAACAACAGGCAGAGCCCCGGCCCTAATCCCGAAAAAACCTGGATATCCTAAAAATAGCTCCTGGTAATCCGCCCCGAGCGTCGGAGCTCGCGGAGAAATTAATTCCTGCCTTCACCTGGAATTTTTGGGAGGAAAAATTCCTCCCTTCCAGCCTTTTTTTCCCTTGGAATTGTGCCCTTGCCTTTTTGTGTTGTCACCATGGCATTTCCCATGTCCTGAGGATTTTTAATGGGAATAAAGAGATCTTCCCTCGTTCTTCTGATGAATTTGGTTGAGTACCAGGGGGGAAAAAAAAAGGAATTTGCTTGGAAAAATCATTGGGAAAAGGAAATCCAACGTGAAAAACTCTGGAGTTTTCAGGAAGGGGATTCGGGAGACGGAGCCTTTCCCAAATCCCGTTATTACCAATTTTCTTGCCGTTGTGACAAAGATTCCTGGTCTGGGATTTTCTGGATAAAATCAAGGCTGAGTTTTGTAGGAATTTGGGGATTTTGTAGAAATCCCAGATCCAAGCCAATCCCAGGCTCGGGTGTGGAGTTGTTTTCCCTCCCTCCCTCCGGATCTGGCGCATCCCTGGAAATTTTTTTCCATGGGAAAGGTCAGGAATGCTGGAGTTTGACATTTCCAGCATCAATGGCTCATTAAGGCTGGGCACAAACAGGAGCCACTTTTCCAGAGGAAAATCAAGGATCTGGAATCACCGGGAAGGAGCTGGAGCTGCCCAATCCCACCCCACGGACATCCCTCAATTCCTTTGTGCAGAAAACGGGGGGGAAAAAAAGGTTAAAATTTGGAATTTTTTAGGGAAAAATCCCCTCTGGACTCACTGCTGTGCCACATTCCTGGGGCAATTCCTGGGACAGACCCGTGATCCCAAATTTCCGGTGGATTCCACACAGAATCTGCACCTGGGAGCATCAAGACTGGGGGATTTGGGAGCCTCAGGAATCAAATCCCGAAGGATTTGGTCCATTTGGGAATGGATTTGGGGTGATCCCAGATCCAGCCCAGCTTCAGCCAGGAGATATTTTGGAGTTGATATCCTAGAATTTTTTGGGATTGAAATCCAGGCTGGAAAACCTCAAAACACACTGGGAGAGCCTCTCCAAAGCCACCTCCCCATCCCAATCCAGGATTTTTTACCATTGGGAGGGGAAAAATCAGGAGCAGGAGCTGGCTGGAATTCCCAATCCAACCCAGCCACAGGGCTGGAATTCCTGATCCAGCCCAGCCCTGAGTTTGGAATTCCCAATCCAACCTCGCCATGGGATCGACGCTCCAACCCAAGAGGGAAACTCCAAAGAAATGCGGGATGTGGGGCGGGAATGCCGTGAATTCCCCTCGTTCTGAGGGATCTCTGGAGCAGAGCTGGCCCCTGGGGGGCTCTGGGCTGGCTCGGGATGAGTTTTCCATGGATTTTGTCGCAGCCGGGTGGGAATTCCTGGCTCGGGACACTCACCAGGCCGCGCTTGCTCCCCAGCACCTCAGACTTGTGCAGGTCCCTCATGGAGCTCTGTGCAGAGAGGGAAAGGAAAAAATTCCATTCATTTCCCAGGAATTCCAGGGAAAACACCCCAACCCTTCCTGCTGCTCCAGAGGGCCGGGATCCGACCCCCAGCAGGGAATTTTTGGTGGTTCCAATCCCGTTTCCTCCTCCCGCTTTTGGAGAATTCCACGTGGCTGCCAAAGTCCTTCTAGAGGACGAAGGAATTCCATAAAAATCATGGATTTATAGTTTAAATAAGTGGGATTATGGGATTTGGGAAGGAATTCTTCCCTAGGGAAGCAGGGAGGGGCCGGGCTGGAATTCCCAGAGAAGCCAGGGCTGCCCCTGGATCCTTGGAATGTTCAAGGTGAGGTTGGATGGGGCTTGGAGCAGCCTGGGACAGCGACAGAATCCATGGAATGGGGGAGGTGGGACAATTCTGGCTGGGAATCTCCCAGATGAGGTTTTTCCAGCCTGGGATTTCCCTGGGGTCCAACTTTTCAAGGATTTCAACTTCCTAGAAATCCTGGGAATGACCTCTCCTCTTCCCAAATGCTGGGAAGAAGCTCCAAGTGAGGCCGGACGGAGCTGAGCTATTCCCAGGAATCCTCATCCTTCCTGGATCCTGGAGCTGCTTCCCAAGTTTCCATGGATCTCATGGAATTCTTGGAAAGGTGCAAAAACTATCCCTGACACCCTCAGGCAGCTGAGTTTGGATCATTTTCCATCTGGGAAAACTTCTGGAGGAGGAAAACCAAACTTTCCCAGGCCCCACGTGCCAAGAACAATCCCAAAATTCCTCCTCCAGCAAAAATTCCGGAAGCAAGCTCAGTTGTCCTCCCACTCTGTTTTCCAAGTCCTTCCCACCTCAGGAAGCTCCAGATGGAGAATAAAACATTCCCAGCCCCCGGAGCTGCCCTGGGGCACCACCCCCGGGAATTTTCCCTCCTCCACCTCCTTGGAATTCCGTTTTCTTGAGGGGAAAAAATATCCCAGGCTTTTTCCCGACTTTTTGGGAAGTTGGACAGGGGGAAAAGTCGCTTTTCCCATTGGAATGAGCATGGGCCAGGGATTCATCCATCAGAATTATTTCACATCCCATCACAAATCCTTGGATCCAACAGGATTTTCCAGCCAGGATTCAGCGGTTTGGATCTATCCCAAGAAAAGTCCAGTGGGAAGATCCCATCAATCCAACCTTTCCCAAAGTCAGCTTTTTAATGGGGAAAAAGGGAAAAGGCCACTTTAAAGCGGGAATTAAAGGGATGGAATTGTCAGGGAAAAGGGACCCCACAGGGAAAAAACTCCTTAGGGAGGTGCCAGGTGGGAGAGGATCAAAAAACTGCTGGAAAAAATCCACTGGGAGCAGAAACATTGGGATAGCCTGGAAAAAAATCTCTTTCCAAGCCCCAGCTTTGCACGGGACAGGGAAATTTATTTATCCTGGGAAATTTATTTTTCCTGGGATTTTTCCAAAGCTCTGGGAAGCACCTCCAGCAGCTCTCCCTTTCCATGTAAAAAAATTCCAAATATTCCTGGGAATGAGCACCCTGGGGTGGCTTCAAACTCAAAATCCCCAAAATTTTTGGGAAGTTTCTCCCAAACATTTGCAGCAGAAACCAAGGAACGGCCGAGCCCACCAACAAAAGAGGAAGGGAAACAAGCAGGATCCGGTCAATATTCCAGGCTGCACATTCCCGTTTCCCGGGAAGAGCCGGAGGAGGCTGAAGGTCACGGGATGGCACCGACCCCCCTTCCCAACCCTCGGGAATCCTGGACAAGCCTTTCCTTGTGCTCCGGCTCCCGGCATGAGCGGAACCCTCCGGAGAAAGGCAAGGGAGCCTTGTTTTCCTTTTTTTCCCTTGTTTTCCTTGTTTTCCTCGTTATTCTGGGAGCCGGCGGAGCAGCGGCCGCGATGTCCCTCCCCTGCCCCGGGATGTGCCTCAAATCCTGCTTTATCCCAGGTTTTCCTTGGATTTTTTGGGAACTGGGGCTCCCTGCTCTTCACCTGAGACTCTCTTTTCCAGAGGTTGGGATAATCCCAGCGGGAAGTGGGATCTCTCTGGATGAGCTTGCATGGAATTCTCATCCCTGGCCAATCTTTCCATCCATTTTGCATCATTTCCTTAATTAATTTCCTTCATCCTCATTCCCACAAAGACTGAACATTCCACGGATTTGATCCACAGAGGTTTTTTGGGATAACGGGTCAAGTTCTGGGAGGAAATCCATGGAAGTTGCCACAATCTTATGGATAAAAAACGATGGAAGCGCATTCCCAGCTTCCAGTGGAGAAATATGGGATGGGATGGGATGGGATGGGATGGGATGGATGATTCCCACCGAATCTCGGGAATGTTCCCATCCCTTTCCAGGTCTCTCGGGATCCTCACCTGCCCTGCTCGGCCCCGGGCTGGTCGGGCGCCTTGGGATTGCCCGGGATGGACACGGAGCTCAGGGAATCAGGGCTGCTCCAGGAGCCTGGAAAAGAAGGAAACCCTTTGGATCCCAAGTTCCAACCAGGATCGATCCTGAACCGCGGCATCGCCAGAAGTGGGGAACAGGGATAACGATCCAGAGGATTTTGGGATTGACTCCAGTCCCTGGTGGCATTCCAAGGGTTGGGATCCACAGGGATCTGGATCCTGCAACACCAGTCGGTCAGGCTTTGCCAAGCAGCATCCCTGGAAATCATGGAATCCTGGAATTCTGGAATGGGTGGGAATGGACCTTAAACCCCATCCCATTCCCTGTCCAAACCCCATCAGGCTTTCCTTGGACGTTCCCAGAATGCGGCTCAGCCTTTTATGTCATTCCCATTCCCAAATCCAAACGATCCCTGGTCCTGGCACCGCCCTATCCCAAACATCCCAGCAGCTGCCGAGGATGTGCCACAGGGAACTTTGCTGGAGCATGGCCCTTCCCAAGCTTCTGGTGCAGGAGGATATTTCCATAATTTTCCCAAAATTTTTCCACCCTTTTCCCATCATTATTTTGCATAGTTTGTTGGGATTTGCACAGCTGGAGTTGCTGGGATAAACCACCACTTCCAGAGAGGAGAATTCCCAGTTGGAATCGCATCAGGATGGGGCTGAGCTCCGTGGAATTCTGTTTCCTTGAGGGGAAAAAATATTCCAGGATTTTTCCTGACTTGAGGGGGTTTTAGGGAACTCAGAGAGGGGGAAAAGTCGCTTTTCCCACTGGAATGAGTGGGACTGAGCTGAGGGCTCATCCATGAGAATTCTGGATCCATAGGGAGGATGGACACACATCCTTGGATTTTAGATGAGCTTGGAAAAGATGGAGTTGGAAAAGCTTTGGATACAGGGATGTGGCTGCCACCATTCCCAGCATTCCCACATTTCCCATCAAACCGGATCTCCCACAGCCAGACCCTAATTTGGGCTCAGGTCCCAGTTTACTTATCCCAATTTATCCTGATTTATCCTGATTTTTCCGCTCTCCAACAACACCTTGACCGCTCCAGCCTTTCTCTGGCACGGCATTTCTGCTCCCGGAGCTTTTCCCAGCCCCATTCCAGCCGGAGATCCGTGGCTGGAGCCTTTGCCAGCGGCTTTGCCACAAACAAAGGAGCGCGGGATTTCTGGGAGCGGCCTTGGCACGGCTCCGGGAGCGCCGGAATCCGTGGATTTGGGGGGCACCGGAGCAGCTGCCTCCCTCCATCCAGAGATGTTTTTTCCCCCCGGCTGCCAGATTTAGGGAATGACTCGGGAGATAGGAATCCGGGATGAATGGAGCTATTCATGGTTTGATAAAATTCCATGGAAAAGAGCGGGAAGGGGGTTGGGAATGAGCCTGCCCGGCCGGGTGTCAGTTACGGATCCCGGCGAGCCCGCCAGGCCCCGTTAACGACCCCAATTAATTCCTTTGAATCCCAATTAATTGCACGGAATCCCAATTAATTGCACAGAATCTCAATTAAAACTCATTAAAAAGCCGAGGGCTGGAGTTGCCTTGGATGATCGGAATTTGTCTTGGAACAGGGATTTTCCTTTCCCAGATTCCAACGGCTCCTTATCCCTGTTCCCAACCCACAGCGATCCCAAAGATTGGTGACTCCAGCCAGGCTTTTCCCAAGTTTTATGGAGAATTTGGGAATGAGGGAAAAAGAGAAAAGGAAAAGGGAAAGGGAAAGGGAAAGGAAAAGGAAAAGGAAAAGGAAAAGGAAAAGGAAAAGGAAAAGGAAAAGGAAAAGGAAAAGGAAAAGGAAAAGGAAAAGGAAAAGGAAAAGGAAAAGGAAAAGGAAAAGGAAAAGGAAAAGGAAAAGGAAAAGGAAAAGGAAAAGGAAAAGGAAAAGGAAAAGGAAAAGGAAAAGGAAAAGGAAAAGGAAAAGGAAAAGGAAAAGGAAAAGGAAAAGGAAAAGGAAAAGGAAAAGGAAAAGGAAAAGGAAAAGGAAAAGGAAAAGGAAAAGGAAAAGGAAAAGGAAAAGGAAAAGGAAAAGGAAAAGGAAAAGGAAAAGGAAAAGGAAAAGGAAAAGGAAAAGGAAAAGGAAAAGGAAAAGGAAAAGGAAAAGGAAAAGGAAAAGGAAAAGGAAAAGGAAAAGGAAAAGGAAAAGGAAAAGGAAAAGGAAAAGGAAAAGGAAAAGGAAAAGGAAAAGGAAAAGGAAAAGGAAAAGGAAAAGGAAAAGGAAAAGGAAAAGGAAAAGGAAAAGGAAAAGGAAAAGGAAAAGGAAAAGGAAAAGGAAAAGGAAAAGGAAAAGGAAAAGGAAAAGGAAAAGGAAAAGGAAAAGGAAAAGGAAAAGGATAATGAGGCAGGAAATGCCCCACTTCCACATTCCATGGATTCTCTGTCACTATCCCAGGATGCTCCAATCCCTGGCCTTGGACACTTGGAGGGATCCAGGGGTAGCCACAGCTTTTCTGGGAATTCCAGCCCAGCCTCTCCCAGCCAGGAATTCTTTCCCAGTATCCCATCCATCCCTGTCCTCTGGCAGTGGGATCCATGCCCTGTCTCCTGTCCCTCCATCCCTTATCCCAAATCCCTCTCCAGTTCTCCCAGAGCCCCTTTGGAATATATGGAATTCTCAAGGACAGGTTGCTCCATTTTTAGCAACCCTCCGGAGAAGCCTTCATCCCGTATTCCCGGGAAATCAATCCGTGTTCTCCAAATCCCAATTCCCTGCTAACACAGCCCAGCCTCTGCATCGAGCTCCCCACAGATTGATCCGGTATCAGCTTTTCCATGGATCAGCATTTGCTCCAGCCACAAAATCTGCCCTTCCAAGGCGGCAGAGGACACCAAGAATTCCCACTGGGAATATCCTGGCATTCCAACCTCTCAGCCACGGAGAACTTCTGTAGGGCATCATTAATTTAATCCTGACAGGGAATAGTTGGAATTTCCTCTCTGGAATCTGGGTTTGGCTCCATTTCCTTGGGATGTTCCCATTCCTTCGGAACACAGCTCCATGATTTTGCCATGGGATCATCCCAGGACCATCCTCCTTTCAACAGTGTTTTTTGGGAAAAATTCCAATCATTTCAAATCCCTCTTCCCAAAATAACCACGCCCCCACATCCCAGTAATTTGTTAATTTGGGATTTGGGAGCAGCCTCTGGAATGGGTGGGAGTTGGGAGCTCCTGATCCAAGGTTAAATTCTCCAGCCCCTCCCTGATCAGAATTCCCACCTGGCTATTCCCAAGGATTCCCATTTTCATGGCAAAGGAATCTCTTTCTTTCCCTTTCTGTTCCCATCCTGTCTCGCATCCCTTCTCCCTCAGATCCTGCTTCCCTCAGCTTCCTGGGAGAGTTATCCAGGCTGTAATCCAAATTCCCAAAATTTGGGATGCTTTTCCCTTGCCAAGGCACAGAGACCAAACTGGACCCCACAGCACGGAAGAATTATCCCGGATTCCTTCTGGAATTCCTTCTGGGGGTGCTGGGAAAAAAAGCTGGAGTGGCCATTCCATGGTATCCATGCCACGATTCCAGGGAATTTGGGCAGCTCCCGGAGCGAGGTGTGGGCTCTCCCAGCATTCCCATGGATCCAGCTCCATCCTATTTTTAATTCCCTGGTCCCAAACTCCCCCAGGAGCTGCAGCTCCAGCTGCTCCTTCCCGTGGGAAGGGAGGGGGTGGCTCGGGACAGGGATGGATCCAGGAAATATTCCAGCCCCCTCCAAGCCTTTTCCCAGCCCTCCAAACCCCAGGGAAAGCTCTCGGTGCTGGTTTTAGGGCCTGCTCCCGACTTTCAGCTGGATTTTCCTCCCAGGACGAATTTTTTGGACTTTGGAAAAGCTTATCCAAGGTTTCCAGCTCCGCTGGGAAGCGGCCCCGGCGTGGGAGGAGTTGTTGCAGGAGAATCCCAAATTCCTGTCCCGGATAAGGCCGGCAGCTGGGGCAGGATGCAGATCCAGAAATTCCCTGGGGCTCCCCCTTTTCCTGCCTTTCTGTGGGAACAATTCCCATCCCCAAATCCCACCGTTCCCTGCAGCCTTGGATCACCGGAGCTTTTCCCGGATCCACGCTGACTCCGGAGAGCCAAATCCACCCCGGAAAATCCTCTCACAGCTCCTTGTCCCACTTCCCTTTCCCTCTCCACATCCAGGGAATGTCCAGGGAGTGACATTCCCTGGATCTGTGTCCCAGTTTTGCCTGGAAAAGGCCTGGAATCGGTGCTGGGCCAGGTGAGGAAGCTGCTCCTGGAATTTCTTATGAAATTCAATCCATGTTGCAGGAGATAAAATCCACAGGGAAAGCTTGGATCGAGCAGAGGAATTTTTGGGACAGAAGACAGAAAACTTTTCCATTTGCTCATCCATTCCCTGAAAATCCACAGAAAATTCCCCATCCTGCTGCAGGTGCTATCCCTGGGCCTTTTGGTGGGATAAATCTGTTCCCATCCCAAAAAAAGCCCCGGCAATGAGCGCTCCAAATTCCCAGCCTGGCTTCCAACTGCACCCCTGGATATCCGGGAATTTGGGGGTCTTTGATCCCAGTTGTGGATTTATATCCCAAATTGCGGCCTGCTCATCGATCCCTCTCCAGAATTGCTGGGAACACACTTTTCCAGGGATTCTGGCATGGATTGGGAATGGCACCTGGGAATACCCAACCCCAAAGGCAGAGCTGGTGACATCCCACACGTTTTTCCTAAGGCAAAAAAAGGGAAGGAGGGAATCTCCCTGTTCTCACTGGGGTTATTTGGACATTCCCACATCCCAGTCCAGGATCTGGAGAGGGATCAGCTCCAGTCCTGCTGCCTCCCATCCCCAGTGCACCAGCCCAGTGTCATTCCCAATATTCCAGACTGTGTCACAGCCCAGGGCTTTTATGGGATCATCAATCCCATTCCCAGAGCCCACTGAGGTCATTCCAGACCCTTCCCACCCCATGACCTTTCCCAAGGCTGATTCCCTGGAATGTCTGGTGACCTCCCAAAGTCATGGCTGTGCCACACCCTCAGGCTGGGACAGGCTTGGAGCTCCCTGATCCCAAATCCCAAGGATCCCACGGTCTGGAATTGGCCCAGGCTTGGAGCTCTCCGATCCCAAATCCCACATCTCCTCTGGAATTGGCCCCTTTGCTCCCTAATCCCAAATCCAGCAGGATCGAGGGGCTCGGGATCGTTCCAGGGCCACAACCTCAGCCACGGGATGGGAGAGCGGGATCAGGGATGGGAGAGCGGGGTCAGTTCCCAGGGATCAGGGATGGGAAGAGACGGGACCAACCCTCAGGGAGCAAAACCTTCCCCGCAGGAATCCGGGAGCTGCTCCAGGACGGATTTGCGCCCCGCCCCCTCCCCCGAGCTCCCGGAGCCGTTCCCGAGGTTTTCCACGCCCTTCCAGCCACCTGTAGAGGTCCGGGAAGCAGCGGCCTAGGGAGGGGCCCGGGGGATGCGCGACCCCCGGGAGGGCTGGACCGCGGGCCGGGGGATGCGCGGGTTGGGGGGATGCGCTTTTTGGGGGGGATGCGCTTTTTGGGGGGGATGATGCGCGGTTTAGGGGGGATGCGCGGTTTGGGGCGGGGGATGCTCGGTCCGGCGGATGCGCGGTTTGCGGGGGATGCTCGGTTTTGGGGGAGGATGCTCCGCTCGGATGATGCGCGGCGCGGTCTGGGGTCCCAGCCCCGCTGGGAGCGGCGCTCCGGGGGCGGCTCCGCGGCTGTGCCGGCCCCCGGGGGTGCTCGCCCCGCGCCGCCGCCCCCTCCAAGGGTTAAAACTGCAGCAGAGCTGCGGGGCCGGAGCGGCCGCGGCCGCGGGAGGGGCTCGGCCGCGATGGAAGCCCGGGGACCGGCAGAGGGGAGGCGGGAGGCTGCGGGGCCGGGCCCGGCACCTTGCGGGCACCGCGGGGCAGTGCTTACCTCGGGACGGGCATGCGGCTGGCGCGGCCGGCGGAGCGAGGAGCGCCGGAGGAGACGGGGAACGAGCCGGAGGAGGAGGAGGAGAAGCGAGGAGGAGGAGGAGGAGGAGGAGGGTGGGGTGTGCCCGCTGCCGAGCGCTGCCCGCAGCTCGGCCGGTGCTCGGCGCGGCGGGGCCGTGATGTCAGCCCCGCACCGCCCCCGGGGGGAGCGGCCCGGCCCGGCCGGGGGGGCCCGGGGCCTTAACCCTTCGGGAGCCCCGGTGGATTTAACCCTTCGGGAGCCCGGTGGATTGAACCCTTCGGGAGCCCCGGTGGATTGAACCCTTCGGGAGCCCGGTGGATTGAACCCTTCGGGAGCCCCGGTGGATTTAACCCTTCGGCAGCCCCGGTTCCATTTAACCCTTCGGGAGCCTCGGTTCGGGTCCGGCCCCGGTTCCGATTTAACCCTTCGGCAGCCCCGGTATCGCTCCGTGGCCGCCGCTTTAACCCTTCCACAGCCCCGGTGCCACCTCCGCTTTAACCCTTTGCGAGCCCCGGTCCAGCCCCCGTTCAGTTTTAACCCTTTGGTGGCCCCGGTTCGGTTCGGTTCGGTTCAGTTTTAACCCTTTGGGAACCCCGGTTCGGCTCCGGTTCAGTTTTAACCCTTTGCGAGCCGCGGTTCCGCCCCGGTGCGGCCGTGCTGGGAGGGGTCGCGCTGTCGGCGAGGATTCCCCGCTGTCGCGATTTGGCCCGGCTCCCTCCCATCCCGACAGCGCCAGGAAATCCTGGAATGCTGAGCTAGGAAGGAGCTGAAAGCCCATCCCATCCCATCCCAGGCCTGGCCTCGGCCGCTTCCAGCGATGCAGGGGGGTGGATGTTCCATGGAAATTAAATAATCCATGGATATTTCAATATTCCGGGATATTCCAGACTGCTGCAGCATCCAGAAGGATCCATCTGCATGGAAAAAGAGATTTTTTACCCCGTTTTTATTATCGACAGTGACACCAGCAGGGCTGGCAGCTCCCTTTTCCAGGCCCAGCTGGAAGCAACATTTGGAATAATTTAGGACATCGATGTGTCCAAATAACCCCAAAATCCAGGCCCCAAAGGGAAAAAATCCTGGAGAATTTTATCCCAACTCCTGCTCTCTCCACCAAGGAAATCCCGCTCCCAATGGCATCGGTTCCAAAGAAATCTGGGGGAATTTGGGGGATTCTAATATGGAATAAAGGAATTGAGGAGCATCCCTGCCACACGTGGCTGTGTCACCTTGCAGGCCCCAAATCCGGGAATTTCCTCCCAAAATTTAAAAATCTCTGGGATGACAAATTAATATTGGGGATAAATATTTAGGGAGAAAAAAACCCAAACCATTTTATCTCCTTGTTTCCAGGGAAGGGAACCAGGATACAACCCAGGCATGGAATCCTCCTGGATTTTGTTGTTGTTGTTTAATTATTATTAATTTTTTTTAAATATTTTTTTAATTTTTTTCCCTCTAATTAATTTTATTTCTTTCAAACAACTCCAGGCCAATTCCAAAGGCACTCCCAATCCTCCTGGAAGAAAAGCCCAGCCCCAAAAACAAGGATTTCCCTTTATAAGGAGATTATTCCACCAAGAATCCAATGGAAGCTGAGTTTTATTCCAAGCATCCCTGTAAAAAAAACCAATAGATCTGATAACAAGAGGAGGAAAAATCCCAAATATTCCTTGAAAATCAACTATTTTTAAGGATAAACCACGTGAGCTGGGCTGGAAAGTATGGGAAAGGTTAATGCAATTAACAGGGAATTAATGACATCAGCCACTGCTAAATCCCGACCCACCCAACCATGACCTTTTCCCAAAAATCCTCCATTTTCCCGGGATCCAAAGGATCTGAGAGGATGCTTGGAATGAAGCAGAGCTCAGGACAGGGAACATCCAGGCCTGGAAAAGCTGGAGGAGGAGAATCCCGGTTTTTCAAAGGCTTGGAGCAGCTCCGTGTCCCGGCTGCCTCATCCCAGAGGGGGAATTGATTATCCCAAAGAACTGCTTGGGAAAACTCGGAAAACTTGGAAAAAACTGGAGCTGAGCTGGGACAGCTGGGAAAGGTAGGATGGGAAGGGAAGGCTGGGAAGGCTTCTGGAGCTGGGAGCATCCCGGGAATCTGGTGATGGATGGATCCTGATTTTCCATGCTGGGGGAAATCCCAGCATCTCCCAAATCCCAAATGCAGCTTGGGAGGAGCCCAGAAATGTTGGGAAAGGGGCTGGGAGTTGGGAAAGCTGGGAAAGCTGGGGGAGCCCCTCATCCGAGCTGGGAAGAGCGGGAATGCTGGGAATGGGGTGGGAATTTGGGAATTTGGGAATTTGCAGCACTGCCAAGGATGGGACAATTCCTTTCCCGGAGGGAATTCCTCTGGCATGGTCAGGAAAACAGCTCAGGCTCACCAGGACAGCCCTGCGATCCCAAATCCTGGCTTTGGGAATACTGGGGAGGGCAGGGAAACATCCCAGGGATTTTGTGCCTCAGGTTTGGCTTGGAATGTTTGGTGGGATCCCATTCCAGCTCCCAGCCGGATTTATTTTCCTGGGGAACATCCATGATCCTGCTGCAGATCCCAGGAAAGGAGGATGCTCAGCACCTGGAAGGAATTCCAAGGGTTCCGATCTCCTGCTGGCACCGAGAGGATCCGGGCGCTGCGTCCCGGCCTCCTCCAGCTGGAGCAGGTTCTCCATCAGCACCGGAGATTCCGGATTTTCCATCGGCATTCCTGAATTTCCACGGCACCGGAGATCCCTGAATTCCCACCAGCATCCCTAAATTCCCAGCAGGACCAGAGATTCCCGAATTCCCATGAGCATCCCTGAATTCCCAGCAGGAGCAGAGATCCAGGCTGGTGCCGGTGCCCTCTGGAATGTGTCTCCCGCAGCCCAGGAGGATTCCCACGGGAAGGCCAACGGGAATTGCTCCCGCGGGACTGGATCCAGGCACCCCATTCCCAGGGTTCTGGAGCAGAATCGCGGCTGGAATTCCCGACCCGCGGCGTGTCCCGGGAATGGGAAGAGCGGATCCCGCTGGATGCGGCCTCGTGGAGCGGAGAATTCCCGGAGCGAAGAATTCCTGGATCCGGGAGCGCCTCGGGCTCCCTCTCCTGGCGCAGCCGGGAGGGAATTGCTGCGGAAATCTTGGGAACGGGAATCTCACCGGGAGCACGGGCGTGGTCACTGCGGGGACACGGGACAGCCCTTGGGATGAGCGGAATTCCACAGAAACTCAGGATCAGGGATCTGAGCCGGGATAAGGAATGAAACCATTCCCAAAATTTCCCGTTTTCCCCCCTTGCAGCATCCACAGCCCACCATGGATAACTTTCCATCTTTCCTCACCCCACCCCTGGGGTTATCCCGGGATTTTGTTTCCTGGCACTGCCGGGCTGGATGTGAGCGGTTCAAAAAAATCCTCGGGAAAATTCCCAGCTGGCTGTCTGGGAATGTGGGAAGAGCAGAGCCAGGACTGGGGATCCCAATCTTTCCATTGGATTGGGGATCCCAATCTTTCCATTGGATTGCTGATCCAAATCTTTCCATTGGATTGCTGATCCCAATTTTTCCATTGGATTGCTGATCCCAACCTTTCATGGAGCACTGTTACCCCCACAATCCCAACCCCCCCGGGACAGCTGGGACAATTCCAGCTTTTCCAGCTCTTCCTCAGCGCCACCATTCCCTCTGAAATGAAGGATGGATGATCCTCCTTGGCAAAACCTGATCCTTAGGGAAAAACCCCCAGAGCCGCCGCCGTGGCCCTTCCAGGGATTCCAGCTCCGGGACATTCCGGAGCCGCGTGGCCGAATCCCGGCACGTCCCTGGCTCTGCCCACAATTACAGAGGAACGGGAAAACCATGGATACAGCACCCGGAGAGTCCTGGAATATCCGCAGCCGCCAATTATCCGGAGGCTGATGTTTGGATTCCAGAGTGGATAATTTATGGAGAAGTCCAGGGCCGGGCACTCATCCCATTGGATGGAAGTTCCTCTGGAATAACAATACCTGGCGCTGGGAGCACACGGATAACCCAAATCCCGGGATTTGAAAGGGAGATGATTCCATTTGTTCCGCCGGGAGTGGGAACAAACAGCTCCGTCTGCTCTGCCGCCGGCAGCTGGTTCCCATTATCCCTGGAAAAGATCCCGATTTTTCACTGGGAGGGGAATTTGGAGGCGCCTTGACTCATTCCAAGTATGAAGTGAATGTGGAGCACAAATGAAAATTCCAAGGGGTGAAGGGATCGGAGATGAGGCAGCTCCTCCCAGTGGGAGCTGAAATTCCCAATTCCAAGTGATGCCCTCAGCTTCCAATCCTCTGGAGACCACCAGGACTGGGAATTCCTGGGAAGTGTGGATCTGGGGGAGAAGCTCTTCCCAACAGAAAATCACTTCCAAAGGAACAGGAGAGGGAAGTGGGAGCTGAAATTCCCAATTCCAAGTGGTGCCCTCAACTTCCAATCCTCTGGAAACCACCAGGATTGGGAATTCCTGGGGATGGAGTGTGGATTCTGTAGGATGGGAAAAGCTTGGGAGAAGATGACGGAAAGGGAGCAAGGCAAGAGATCCAGGGGAAGAGATTTTGGAGGAAAAGAGAGGAATTTGGGGAATTTGAATGTCCAAGAACAGGTTGGATAAGGCTTGGAGCCACCTGGAATAGCGGGAATTGTCCCTGCCCATGGAATGGGAATGGTTTGAGGTTCATTCCCACCAAAACCATTCCAGGTTTCCATAATTTTTGTGTACCTATATTGCATCTATCCCAGCTTCCTTATTTTCCACCCATCTGGATTTATTTGGATGTGGAAAAAGCAGCAGGATGAGGAAGAGGAAACTGTGGGATCCCAGGAAACCCCGGCAGGAGAGGATTGAACAAGGGATTAATGGGAAAATCCAAGGAGATTATAAAAATTCCATGGAATCCGGCTGGACTGAGGTGGGAATCTCCCTGTGTGGGTGGTCCCCATTCCTAAATCCAACATTTTCCCAACATCTGTCTTGGACTGAGAATGGTGGTGACCCCCTGGAATTATCTGGCAAAATTCCTCTCTTTTTCCAATGCCAATGGATAAAGCTCAAGGAATCAGAGGAGGAAAAGCGGGAAAAAATTTTGGGCTAAATCCTGCGCCAACATTCAGGTTTATGGGGGATATTCCCAATCCAACAGCATTTGGATCCCATGGACTTCCTGAGCTGTGGGAGCTTCCAGGAAATTCCCAGAGTTTTCATATCCCGTAATTATAGGGAGCAATGTCCACTGGAATGGGAATGAGGGCAGCACGGAGTCTCCCAGTGGGAATCTGACCTGAACCTCTGGAATTCCACTGGGGGCTCCTTTCCCACCCCTCCTCATCCTGGGGCTTCCCAGGCTCCTGCATGGGTATGGAATTCCATGAAAAAGGAATTTATGGCTGCCCCATGCCAGGGAAAATCTGGATTTGGAAACTGCGGGATCTGGTGGCAGCTCGGAAAACAGCCGGAGGGGAGCATGGAAAAGGCTCCTGGCAGGAATCCTGTTGGAAGCCAGCCCAGGGAATTGAAGGAGCGTTTTCCATGCCTGGATCCGATGTTTGATGGATGAGTTCGGCACTTGGCTCCACCAGGAATTTTAAAGGCAAACCCGACACCTTTGGCTCGGCTCCTGGTTTTCCCCTCGCTCCAGGAGCATTCCCAAATTTCCTTGGGATGACAAGGAGGGGACCAGGTCCCTCCAGTGCCTCCCACTGAGCCAAGGATTCCCACAATTCCCAGGAATGGGAGCAGGGCTTGGAAAGGGCCATGATGGGAGCTCCTCGTTCCCCCAGAGCTCCTCGTTCCCACCAGAATTCCCAAGATTTCCACCCCCCATCTGCCAGTCCTGCCTCATTTTCTGGGAGCCATCCCGGAATTCTGGGGGCTGATCCCAGAGATCACTACGGCATTTTGGGACAAATCGCAGGATCCATCCCAGAATTTTGGGAGCTCTGAATCCAGGATTCACCCCACAATTTTTGGGAAGTTGATCCCAGGATCCATCCCAGAATTTGGGAGGCTGATCCCTGGATTCACCCCAGGATTTTGGGGGGGAAATCCCAAGATCCATCCCAACATTTTATGGGAGCTACGTCCAGAATCCTTCCCAGAATTTTGGGAGTAGATCCAAGGATCTTTCCCAGAATTTTGGGAGGATAATCCTAGGATCCATCCCAGTATTTGGTGGGGGCGGGAGGTGATCTCTGTTTTCCTGTGTGGAAGAGGCTGGAATTCTGCTTCCCTGTTTTCCTGGCTCTGGGAAGAGCTGATGCTGTGGGAGAGGCTGGAATTCTGCTTCCAACTTTTTTTTTTTTGAGCAATTCTCCGGAGCTCTGAGCTCAGCAGAGCTGCTGGATCGGGAATGAGGGATCCACGTGCTCTGGCTTGGAGCTGCTCCCGGGTATCCAGAGGGACAAATCCCAATCCCAAATCCAGCTCTGGAATGGGGTTTGCTGTTCCCGAGCATCCATCTTTCCCGGGGAAGTGGAAAAAGCCTCTGGAGTGGGATAAAATCCCTGCATGCCCCTCCTCCCCAGCTCCTCCTGCGCTGAAATCTGGGAATCTGGGAATTTGTTGTCATTCCTGGCCTGTGTTTACATTCCTGGTTTCCAGCCTGGCTCTTCCCAAACTCCCGAGGCAGCCGCAGCCAAGGCCGGACACCTCCTGGACAGTCAGGATCAGGGAGCTGCTGCGGGAACAGCTGGAGCCTGGAAAAATCCAGAAAACCTGCTGGGATGATCCCAAAAAATAGGGAAGGAAGGTCGGGAGGGCGGTGAGATGGAAGCACAAAATCCTGTGGGATTTGGATCCAGGGATTTGTGGGTGCCACCCATGGAGAGAGATTGGAATTGGATGAGCTCCCCATTCCATGATTCCATGAGGAATTCCTGCTATCCAGAGGTTTTTCCAAACGAACAAAAGCTTTTTCCTGGATCCAGGGGTCAGCTGGGAGCACATGGCCGGAGCAGCCTCCTCCTTCTCCAGGGTTTTTGAGGAGTCATCCAAGGATTTTAATCTGGGAAAAACACGGGATCTTCCCTTTGGGAATGGCTGATGTCATTCCTAGATCTGCATCCAGCTGAACTCGCTCCCTGGGATGAAACATTCCCTGTTTTCTCCTCCCCTCTCCCAGTTTTCCCCCTTTATTTTCCCCCAGTTTTCCCCCCTCTCCCAGGTTTTTCCTCCCTTTCTTCTCAGTTTTTCCCTTATTTTCTTCCCAGCTTCCCCTCACTTTTCTTCCCAGGTTTTTACCCCCTTTTTTCCCAGTTTTTCCCCCTCCTCTCTCCCAGTCTTCCCCCTGTTTTCCCAGAGGAGGTGACACCTGGACACGGGTGGTGCCACCCCCGAGGTGCCACCGCGGCCATCGGTGTCCCTTGGAACCCTTCCCATCCCTGTGGGATCCCACCGGGAGAGGCCTGGGATTCCAGGTCAGAATTCCTGGCTGGCACAGCCCCGATTCCAGATCGGAATTCCCGGTTGGCACAGCTGATTCCAGGTGGGAATTCCCGGCTGGAATCCGCTCCCTAAAGGGTGGCACGGCCTGGAGGCGGCTGTCCTCATTCCCATCCTTTCCTGCTGCGCCTCATCCCAGGATTCCAGTGGGCATTCCCGGCTGGCACAGCTGATTCCAGGCTGGAATTCCCGGCTGGCACAGCCAGTTCCAGGCTGGAATTCCCGGCTGGCACAGCTGATTTCAAGTGGGCATTCCCGGCTGGCACAGCTGATTCCAGGCTGGAATTCCCACCTGGAATCCGCTCCCTAAAGGGTGTCCCGGCTGGAAAGGGCCGTCCCCATTCCCATCCTTTCCCTCCTCCCCGTTCCCTGGTCCCTCCCACTCCCTCCCAGCGCTCTCCCGCTGTCAGGGAGCCGGGAAAAGTTTGGGATAAGGGACGGGATCTGGGATCGGAGCTCCCAGTCCCGCCGATGCTCGGCAGCGGGGACTGGGGCAGCCGGCGATTCCATGGATATTCCCAGCGGGATTCTCCTGGCCTGCTCCCTCTGCCTCCTGCCCGGTGAGTGCCCATCCCAATCCCCCCGAAAAAAAACTTGGAAAAAATGCTGGAGAAACCTTCACGCGGCTCTTGGAAAAGTTTTGCCGGGAGCTGGAGGCTGCTGGAAAGGGATGGAGATCCCGGAATTCCCGGGAAGCTCCCGATCCCTCCTCGGCCTTGGAGCGGGATTAATCGGGATAATCCCAAAGGATCGGATATTGGGGGGGGGAAGGAAAGCTCCCTTTTCCCGAAATCCAACTTTTCTGAGGTTTGCTCCGTTGGAAAACGGGGAATGCTCGGGGTTAAATTTAGGAGAGGCTTTAGGCGGAGTTTAATTCCAGGAGCTGATCCTGCGGCTTCTCCCGTTCTGCTCCGGGGGGCTGGGATGGATTTTTCTGCTTTTCCCCGGGGTTTTTCCTTGGGAAAAGCGGCTCCCTGTTCCTGCTTTAATCCCATCTGGAATCCACCCGCTCTGGGAGCCGCCGAACTGGGGGGGAAACGGGAAAAAAAATGGGGAAAAAATCGGGAAAAGATCGGGAAAAAAGCGCTTTTCCCCACTGCCAGGAGCTCGGCCACCGGCTCGCGCCTCCTCCAGCTGCAAACATTCCCAAACTTCCTGCTGGAAAACGCGCCAGGCTGCTCGGGGTTTTTATGGGATTGGCGCTTTTTGGGATTTTTTTTTTCCCTTTCTGCCGGGGGATCCTTTCAAGGGAGCCGCGGCCGAGCTGCTTTTCCTGGAATAATTGGATCCATGTGTGGATGGAGGGATGGATGTGGCTCTGGAATGGGATGTTGGAAAAATCCTGGGAGCTGCCAGATTCCCAGGAAATTCGTCCATGGACACGATGCTGGTCTGCAAAGGGAGAGCATGGAAAGGGGATTTGGGAATTCTGCCTTGGGATGTGTGGAAATGATCCCTGAATTTGCTCCTTGGGATGAAACATTCCCTGCTTTTCCCTCCTCTCTCCCAGGTTTTTTTTTTTCCCTTTATCCATGGATTTTTCTGCCCATAATTTTCCCACAGGGATTTCCATCCTGGGGAGTTTCTGTCCCTGGATGTTTCTGGATCCAGGGATTTTGTGGGAATTCCGGAAGCACAAGGTCCTGCTGTAGCAAAGCCCCTCCGGAGCTTTGGGAAACAATTTTGGGAGAGCAGGAATGTTTTTTTTTGGGAAACAATTTTGTGGGAAGGCAGGAATGTTCCAGGATGACTGAGCTTCTGTTCATCCCCAGCATTCCCAGCTCTCCCATCCAAATCCCAGGATTTTCCCTAAAGCCAATGACAAACTCCGGGAGCTGGCAGCATTCCCTTGGATTCCCAGGAATTCAAGCCCACCCTGCTGCTTCCCAGAGTTCTTTCCCAAAATTTCTTTACCCTTTAGAAAGTTTTCCTTGTTCAGCTCAATATTCCCTCTCCAGGAATTCCACCCTGAGCTCCGGCAGTGCTGGAAACCAGGGAAAAAAAGCTGGATTTTCCTCACAGTCCCAGAAAAACCGGGATATTCTTCTGGGGAATCAGAAAACTCTGGGGCAAAGGCAGCAAAATCCAGCCCCAAATTTTCTTGGAAGCAGAACCAGGGTTGGGAATCATGGGAAAGCTTCCAGGCACTTCCCAGAGTTCCTTTTCCAGCTGGGAATCCCCAGGGATTCAGGCAGGGCAATTTTCCCCTTTTCTCCCCAGTTTTTCCAAATTTTCTCCCCAGTTTTTCCAGTTCCCCCTCCCCCTTCCCCCCC